TTGATTTCATTTAAAGTTAGGCAAACCAAACTGAGTTCTACACCAACTGTGTTATGAGATTGACGATCTTTAAATGGTTGAAGTGATTATCATCAATCATAGATAAAAACCATCCTCATTAAAGAAGAATGTGACATAAAATAGGAAAAGAGGAGGAGAAAGCAGGAAAATATGTGAGAATAATATGGGATAAGAGAGCTAGTGGGACATTTGAAGATAAGTTAAAAACGCACACCTTCATTGAAGTTAATACCCAAACAAAATGGGATGAATTGAAACAACCGATCCTGAAATAAAGGTAGAAATTACTTTAAGTAGAAGTAGAGAGAAAAAAATGACTGAATGGAATGAGGAATGTTATGCCTTAAAAAGAGGAACAAAGAAGGCATTAAGAAGATGGAAAAACCAAAAAATAGCATTGGAAGAGTTCTTGAAAGTCGGAGAAACATATAGAAGTAAGTGCAAAGAACGGAAATAAAACAAGTATTGAAATTAATCATAGAAAGATGAAGACGAAAGAAATTAAAAAACTGGAATGCAAAGATGGAAAAACATTTCTTGGGATTGCTGGAAGCGAATAAGGCGAAAGGATACCAAAAAAGTGGAGTGAAGGGCTAATTTGCCCGATAATAGAAGGAAAACAGGGAGAAGATTGAAAACTATAGAAAGATAACGTTGCTAATTATTATGAGCTACAAATGGTATGCCATGGAACTTTGAGACAGGTTAAAAAAAAAGAAATGAAGAGAGAAGGGTTGTTGCCAGACATGCAAGCAGGGTTCAGGGAAGGGAGGGGAACAACGGAAAATGTCTATATATTGTACCACGGAAGAAATTCTAGATACAACGATAGATATTTAAAGATAGTACCTAACATCCAAAAACCAGAGAAGAAATATTAAGAGAAGCCGGAAGGGAAGTAGAGTGGATGTAAGACGTGCAACGGGCTAGGAGAAGGATAGTTTAGGTTCAATTATTATTATTGTATAGGTAGTTGGAAATTAACATTCATGTTTTATGTACTATCATATGTATATCGTTAATGCATACACACTAAATATTTAACTCCCTCTGTCCCAAATTAAGTGCCCGATTTAGAAATAAATTTTGTCCCAAAGTAACTGTCCGATTTCTAAATATTCTTTTTTATGAAAAGTTATTATTATTACAACTAATATAACATCCGTAACAAGTTTTGATATAATATTTAACTTTCCTTGCAATTAATTAAAATAAATAGGTTAGTATAATAGTTAAAATTTTTAGTTTGTTCTCTTTATCAGGGTGCCGCATCCAAGTCTGGACATAGAGAATTAACGTGGCAAATTGGTTTTTATTTTATAATATCTCCCCAGATCACTTTAAAGCTATTATTGAGTGATACCTTTGTGGAGGTCGAAGAGAGTTATCGGCCAGTATTTTTTTCAAATCGTTGCAACGCGCTCATTTACTGTAAAAAGGTTTTAAAAATTGTATTTTGAAATTCGCGCCCGATCCGATTTCTGTCGCACTGTCGATGTTCGGCGATCGCGTCTTTGGATTAATCATGCAAAATCCAAATGTCAAAGTGAAATTAGAAATTATTCTCAGAAATCAACGAACAACTCAAACTGAATTATTTTATCCAGTGTGATGATTATTGTAGGTCAATTTAAACGGAATAACATTTCGATTTTGCATGGTTAATCCAAAGACGCGATCGCCAAACTTCGATAGTGCGACGGAACATTTCGCGACAAATCGGATCGGGCGCGAATTTCCAAATAGGATTTTTAAAACCTTTTTACAGTGAAAGAGCGCGATGCAATGATTTGAAAAAAATACTGACCTATAGCCCTCTTCGACCTCCACAAAAGCATCACTCAATAATAGCTTTAAACTGTTCTGGGGAGATACTATAAAATAAAAACCAATTTGCCATGTTAATTCCCCATGTCCAGACTTAGATGTGGCACCCTGTATGTATATGTATCTGAATGATATAAAAATAGTACGAAAAATCAGTTGACAAATCCAACAAATCTACCAGAACAGTTTTTCGGTGACACTGGAATAAGTTTTAGTATTGAGAAATGTAATTAAATGGTCAAAAACTGGTTTAGAAAAGTTAACTGTCTCAAGAAGAAAAACATTCACACAGTATAGAAGAAACCATCAACTGAGACAGAACGAAAGAAGGGAATTCCAGAATTTAGAATTTATAACTCCTGAAACTGCATGGAAAATTCTTCAATGGCCTAGACGAAACTCACATCAACAAGAAAACGTCAAAAAATTAAGCTTATGTGCCGAAACAGAAGGGTTTTTATTTGCTTTTCAAGATTAAATAATTAATACCAAGAATTACAGAAAATATAAAATCAAAAATCCAAACATAAGAAACGATTGTTGCCAACTTTGTAAAGAAAAACCCGAAACGGTTCAGCACAATAATTGTCAAAATACAAAGAGCTGCTTTGTTAGGAATTGTAATACTGTTCTGAAGTTTCTCGAATTTGTATTCTGTAATAAGTATTAGGATCTCGAAGATATTTTATTAATCTAATCAGTGCATGCCATTCATTAGGTACTTGATCTTACTGCCCGTAGCGCTAGAAGTCTTGCCTGAGTGCCTGTCATTTCCGGGTCAGTTGTGGGTCTAAAAGTAATAATTATTGCAATAAATGCACTCCTATCAAAATTACTGAATCCTCGATAACAGATTACGATAAAAAGATAATTTTGCAAAATAAACAACAAATATATGTTCAATAATAATAATATGCTTATAATGAATATTATTCAGCTTTAGTCAGTTTATAAATCTTTGATTCTAACTACGCGGTAAATAAACTTTCAGGTTTTTTGTTTTTTTACGTAAACAATCTAAACTAACATAAACTTCTAATTAAATATGACCTCAATAAATAATAAAGCTTTATACATTATGAAACGACACACCTTCAGAAATCCCCAACCAACTACAAATCTGAGTTCAGGCATGTATTTATACACAGCATTTTACCAGAATCACTGTTGTTATTGGTTCCCTTATCTCTAAATATACACCACATTATTGCTGTCGTATAAAATGCAAAACATAAATGGAATTTGTTTCAAACATAGTTAACTAAAATCAACGAATCTGATGTACACCTTGCTTTTTATCTTGATACTATTACTTTTTTTAATGTATTAAGGTTAAGTAAAGTATGTTCGCTTTGTGGTTTTCTTTTCAACGTCTAAAACAAATATTTCCTCTTGTGTTTTTTTTTTTGGATTTTTTCGGCCGCATCAATGCCAAGTAGAGCATACTTCAAATATTACTATTATTATTATTTAATACAATGGTCAACAGTCAAAATATATTACTGCTGTTAAATATAAATTTAAATTATGACTTTAATAGTAAATAAGCACTTTAATACACTGAGACACAAATTTAACAAAAATACATTTCCTACCATTTGGCAACATTGGAAGTTGAGTTTGGAATAATCATATTTAATTCATGTATACCTACTTAAACCCCCTTTCAGGATTTTCCCTAGTACTAAAGAAAAGAATATATCAGATAGAACCTTGAAAAATAACCCCAAAATTCTGTTTACATAACTTTGACTTGTAATCCTTGTATTGCACATAGAGAAATCTGTCATAAAGATAAGATATCCATTTAATCTTGTGAAAATCCAGAGTTTTCCAATTTCGTAAGTATGAATTTATAGTCAACAAATGCTAACAAAAAGTCAGCACACCAAAGATCATCTTGTTTTCAATTTAGACTTTGATTTCAATATTTCATCGTTAGGTTTGTCATCATAAGACCGAATTATTTTGTTTTGGACAAAAAGTGTTTGCAATGAATGAATCTCCAAAATAAGAAGCGAGGTGTCAACGATTTCTTGTGAATTTTTATCAACTCATCATTAAAATTCATAACCGATGGAAAGATGCCATATTAGTCATGGTGTTTAAACCACATCCACAGCCATCAAGATGCCATTCATAGTTATACTAAAGATTTATATTTTTATACCAATACAGGCAATATGGTAATTACCATCACATTGTGTCGACATGAAAGGTGATCGTCATTTTTACCGTCCTTTTTTCCTCGACGCAAACAAATTTCTATGTGACATTCTTCCGATGTATAAACATAAACACTACAAGTTGTTACTGCTGACAGGCCATTTTTACTTATTGAGCGTATGCTAAGGAAGTATAGTAATCGAGTCCATCGGAAGACTCAGTACTTTCATATTTAGGCAATAAAAAAGTCATATTGTAATCCGGTTACTGCAATTCGTAGAAAATGTCGTTTAATTTACTTTCTCTGTTTCACTCTCACATGTACAATCTCGACAAGTCATTTTCTTGTTACGATGAACTTCACCTGAGCTTCTGAAGAATTTTCTGTATATATATAGGTTTTGTTTAGTGTTGTGTGTGTGGTTCAAATACTCTTCAATATTTACAGACCCGGTACCTCCATGTCTTAAAAAAATTACTCAGGTTCATTACTGACCTTGATGTAAGTACATATGTTGCATTTAAAAAACAGTAGGTACAACAAAATTCAATTATTGGAGTTTCTATTAATCCTGTTATCTCTGTACCACTTTCTTATTAAGTGCTAATCTACTTGGAGTTGTTGTTTACGTCATTCTGCCGTTCTCTAAAATTTGACACGTAGAAACTAAATATAATGATATAAATATATAAATGACATATGCAATTCTTTTGCAAATTAAAAAAAAACACTATAATATAACAGAACACCTGTAGTTATTCACGGTTACTCTCAAGGTAATATGATTCGCCCATCAAACACAGCAGAAAAACACATTTTTAAAATTTTCTAATTTCTCCGGCAATTCATTTATAAAAAACATGTAAATAAACAACAATAAACAAAGCAAAAATAAATAGAGCAAACATTCATCTAAATTCATAAATAATTTCTAATCCACGACGAACGCAAGTGAAAGAACATCACACACGTGAAAAAATGTTACCTTTCCATCATCACCCCGCGTCGTGCGTGACAGCTAACCACCCCAAACATCCCTCGCGATTCTCCACAACCACACAAAAAAACACCAATTAATTAAAATTCCAGCAACACCCACTGTCCTATTCCTGGTGCGAATGCAAACGCTGATACTATCGCTATAGTATTTACCGAATTATCTCACCCACCGCAACAAATAGGAAAATTGTGCGATTACTTCGCCAGTTTAGTAATAACGAGAGGCGTGGGTGTTTACAAGCCGCAATCGCGAACTAATCGTCCACAACAAACTTTGATTGTTGAGCGAAACAAAAAAAATCCCAGTGAGAGATAGTAGGAGCACGACGCGAAGTACGAAAAACCGATGCGAAGCTGAAGAAGCGGAGGACACTTACCTTTTTGCCCGAAATAATGACGATAATGCTCACACACTGTCCACTGGCGACGAGCGCTTTTGAAAGTCGCGCATCTTGGCTCGAGGTGTAGCGGAGCGCACAGTCAGAAGGAGTATACCACGGCTGGGCAAGGCTACGTCGCGGTCTCTTGCCGCTCGGACCCTCTCGCGGAAGTAAAACTTCCGCTGCGATAGTTTGTTGCGTGTTTATGGGCTCGAATTGTATCGTATCTGGAGCGCTCCATGGGCGGCGCCTGGAGATAGACAACCAGTTTAACGAGAAGTGTGGGAAGGAGGAACGATGAGGGTTGAATGGGGAGGAAGGGACCATTGTTGGGTGAAAAGGAAGAGGAAGTGGTTGGGTGTATTGGTGACAGAATTCGGGCGCTTTTGTGTAGGTTTTTCGGTTGTTTTAAGCGCTAAAATGTGGGCAAATTCTTACTGACAATCGGGTTATGTTATAAGTCTTTGTTATATAGGTCGTCTAGAGCCTTCCTGAATTCGAAACACAACTAGAAATACAATTTCAAAGGGATCGGGGACGAAAAAGTTGATACGTTTTTAATTTATAGCTTTCCTAACAGGCAAGCCCCCAATATACGATTTTTAAACGACTGGAAACTGAAAACACCATATCAAAAATTTGAAAAATTGAAGAAACGAAATATTGCAAAATTCCAAAGCTGAAATATTGAAAAACCTAAAAATGGGAGAAAAATTAAAGAATCGAAACAGTGAAAAAATCCCAAACTAAAACATTGAAAAATTGAGAAATGGAGAAATGGGAAAATCAAAAAAATTGGTCTAAAGAATTTAGACAGTACTTCCCTCGCTATCGGAAACGTGACGACTGCATGCCTATTATGTTTTTTTTTCACATTAGATTTCAAAGCAGTCGGTTTTGTAGTTCCTTATTAAATCAATCAAATAAATTTGCGCATTCATTAAATTTTTTCAGTCACCCTGTATATCCAAATCCATAAAACATGAATGGAATGATAAATCACAAGAAGAGACTCGTCATATTTTATACAATTTAGATAGGATTTATTCAGCAAAATTTTGAGATGACGTCATCAATTTTTTAGAGGGGATAAGTAAATATATTGCGATTAAAACGGTCCTGGTTTAATAACAAAAAAATATTGTTCGTTTATGAAACAATCTCGTCTTAGATAAAGTATTCGTAAAAAAATATGTCGTAAAAAATTACGTATGCTGGTCCCGACTGCGATTATGGTTTAAATATTTTTTAGAAAATCCTGTCATGGATGTAGAAACATTTGTGACAGCCAAAGAGGTTTTTTTGAGAAAATTATTTTTGAATTTAGTCCAAATTGAATAGACACTAGGCAACAAGCACATTTGGGCAAAAGAAAGAGAAATTAGAGTTACGGCTTCAAATTTTGGACGTATTTACAAACCTAGACCGACTACAGCAATAGCTAAAACTGTGGAGTCTCTGTTGAACAGTACATTTAGAGGTAATAGTCATACATACTATGGACAGCAAAGTGAGGAAAAAGCTGTCAAGTGTTTTGAAATAAATAAAAATATAAAAACTGAACGGTGTGGCTTGTTTATTTTAAAACAATTTCCTTATTTGGCTGCTAGTCCAGACAGGGTTCTAGAGGATAGGAGTGCATTAGTCGAAATTAAATGCCCTTCAAAATCGCACCATTTGTCTCGCGAAGAAGCGGTTAGAAAAAAAAAAAATAAAATTTTGTACATTGACAGAGAATTGAAACTAAAAAAAAAACATGATTACTACTTTCAAGTCCAGGGACAAATGCTTGTTACGGGTATTTCACAAGTTTATTTTGTTGTGTGGACACCCAAAGGAATAAATATAGAAAAAAATGATAAAAACGAAGAAATATGTAAAAAGATGGCAGATAAACTTGGCAGATTTTACTTTGGCGCATTATTGCCCGAAATAATTGATTCAAGAAGAAAGAGGAACCTGCCTTTGCGAGAGATTTTTTTTAAATCAATGAAATTTGTTTCTATTTTTTTTATGTACTTTAATAATTTATTAGGAGTACATTTTTCATCACCAAGATTTGCATATTTTTATTATAAATATATTTTGAAAATTATCTCTCGGCAAATGAAAACATATACGAGCACTTTTTTCGAGTAAAGAATGAAGGGCTTTTTTAAATTACCTCCTTTCTGGGATAAGTAGTAGACATACTTAGCTACTTATACGTGTTAAACAAAAGCTGTATTTTATATATTTTTTATTATTATTATAAATATGTTTATTAGTTTTATTAAATAACAAAGCAAAATATATATTAACAATAATATTACAATGAATTTTTAGTAATCATGTGTATTGAATTCAGGATCCTGAGTGGAATAAAACTATTATAGTTCCCCAGTTTTAATTCGGTTTTATGATAGTACCTCATTGCGTAAAAGTTAATTTCCTTAACAATAGATTACTACGGCCGGTCCTGGCGGCTTGTTATAAAACTGAGTTCCTTGCCATAAATTAGAAAAATCACTCGAAAACTCTAACAATCAGCTTATGGTAGAGCAGGCGATAAGGGTTTTACCTGAAAAGTCGCTTCCGTAAAATTTAGTGGCGCTCCTATCGGCAAAGTACTGAATTAACTGCTCAAATTCTGTCGAATTGATACCCATTTTTTTCAATAATTGTTAGTTTTTATTAAAAACTCTGCTAACCAATAGATCATTAATTTTCCTCTGATATTCCTGTTAAAATTATTCGACGTATTTTGCACTAATTTGTGATATATTTTGATTTTAATAAACACATTATTATTTAAACAAATTGTACCACTAGCATACATTTAATGACTCTGCGCCCTGTAAAAAGTGACGTTTTATCCATGTGCCAATTTTCAAGCGATTCTATGATGGTTATAACTCAAAAAACTTGAAAAGAAAACATACAATGGTGCTTTTTTTCGATATTTCTCAGCCATGTTTTTTTAACTGATTGAACTGGTCTCTGCGCTGTAGAATATGAAAAAAGCTGCAGATTGATGTATGATACATATACAGGGTGACTGCGAAATAAGTGCAAATATTTTAACCACGGCATCCCCCACCCTAGTAGAGCCGAAATATAGAAAAAAGAAATTAAAAATCGAATGGGGCAAAACCCCCATGAACCACCCTCGATACGAAGGCACTGAGCCACCTTGTAAACAGAGTTGGAAAAACGTTCGAATAAAAACGACCTAAACACTTTCAGTTTCAATTAAAAGTAAAACCGACTTTTTGCTGCTTATCATTCGTTCATTCATTTACTCATTCATCGTTAAAGGTCAGTGTGAAAGTTTTTTGGTAATTTTGATTCTGACGGATGTTTGGTCCTTGTCACAACGATTTTACGTTGTTTATTGGAACAGAAATAAGAGCAACTTAGAATGCTACTACCTTTTTACAAGAAATGTTGAAAATGTTGTCCTTGACTAGCAATACAGGCGTCAGAGCGTCGCAAGAGGTTTGTTGATAGGTAAAAAAACACCGGAGTAGCGGGTGTCACTTTCACTTGTTGAAGCTCTTCGATAATTTCTGGACACTGTTGATTTCCACAAACGAACTGTTTCATCCAACTGATACACATTTATCGAAAACCGTCTCTTGAAATCGTACTTGTTGACGACTACGTGGAGTTCCATCGGACAAAAAGTGAGTTACACAACGTGAACAATCAGTGGACTCCAAACCGTGCACTTTGTCAACATGGTATGGATGTGGCCGTATTCTTTTAATGTAGGATGCACTACAAGCTGTGAAAATCCAACTTCTTCTTTCTGTCCTATCACGGCCACGATCGTGAGTTTGAGGTTGAAGGTACCATGATCTCGGAGATGCTGTACCACTGATGCACCCATTACCATATCGACACAATCTGCATGGGAAAACTGCACCATAAACCGATTTCACCGACCGCTCGATGCTAACTGGCCCTTTTCGTGTTTTTCACGTTGCGATTAAAAAAGTGCCTGATAAAGTAACTTTTTTGGTTCTTTAACCGACTCGCTCTGTTCCATTCATTGTAGTAATTATGTAGGTCACAAAACAGTCCAGCGGCGCGTACAACAATTTACATTGAATTTCAAATAATTTTTTCTAGACACTGCTACTACTTAGGACCGTGAATTTTACCCAGTGACATAATCATATTGTGAGCTATTCCCCATTTTTTTTTTGCATGTATTTCGCAGTCACCTTGTATATTAATATCATTTTTTCATACAAAGAACCAAAAAAATATTATACCTCGTCTAGCGAGTCCCCTTAAGGCTCTATACTGAGTACATTGAAAACATCGTCGTGGTTTCCGGAGTTGCATTTTAAAAATAGGAGATATATCGCTTTAAAAAATTATATTTCGAATTAGCAAACTTCAGTCCAGTGGACCTTCATATTTTTATTCATATCTAGTATGCAGTTTTTACAAAAAAATATATAAATTTCACCAACTTTTAAATCACGCTTTAACCGGCACATTGATGCATTTTTGACGAAATACTGAAGTTATTTGCATTCTGAGATAGGAGGTCCCCTGGGGAAAATTGTCAGCTTTCTTTTGATACCATTTATAATCTTAAAAAATCCACGACTGAGGTAAATTACTCGCGAAAAGTCAAAAGAATACAGGTTTACTTAGATTCTGATTTGGTTGCAGACTTGTATTTTTAAAATGTAACTCTGGAAACTACGATGATGTTTTCAATGTATTTAGTATTGGGCGAAACCAAACCAGACGCCAGCCTTAAGAAAAAACTGGCTTTCCGCCGAAAAACCGGAACACAAACAGCTATCGGCCCTGATGCTGAAA